ATAAAAAGGTCAATCCATCATGAGGTCATAACAATTATAAATCTGTATGAACCTAATAACAGACCTTCAAAGTGTCAGAAGGAAAACTGACAGAATTAAAGGAAGAAGAAACAACTCTAGGATTAGAGTTGGAGATTTTGTACAACTGGCTCAGAAATGGATAAAATAACTAGATTGTTATAATCAGTGAAGACGGAGACCAAGGAAGGAGGTGGTTCAGGACGGTGGTGTAGGAAGGTCCTGGATTCATCTCCTTCCAAGGACACAATAAATTTACAACTACACATGGAAAAATCCCTATGAGAATGACCTGAAAACTAGCTGAACAGCTTCTCCACAATAAAGGATAAAAAAGCCACATCGAGACGGGAAGGAGAAGCAGAGATGTGATCTTGCAAAAAAAAAAACAAAAACAAAAACACTCCACCCCCAGCCTGGTGACCTGAAATTGGTGAAATTGGGAGGGAGCTCACAAATAGGAAACTTCACTCAAAAGAGCCAGGGGTTTGTGCCTACATCAGGCATCCCAACCCTTGGAATCAGCACTGGTAAAGAGAGCCTCCAAAAGGTCTGGCTTTGAAACCCAGCAGGATTTACATCTGGAAGAATATAGGGCTACACTCACCCTGGACCCAGTGCAAAAGCAACAAAGAGGCCTAGGTCTAGATTACATGTGAATGAGATTCATTTACTAACCTTAAAGCTCTGCTGGAGGGGCAGGAATCGGTTGGGAGTCTTCCTGGTGCCATTCTTATCCTCTCCCTTTCTAGCACCAGTGTTCGTGCCTCATCCTCACGCCGCATCTCAGCCCTGCCAGAGCCAATAGGCACATGCAGGCCATACAGGGGGTGCCCCTTGAGCATCTGGCTCTGCTATCCAGGGGGAATTGTGTTTTGGGGCCCCATGGGTCTGAGAGAACCAGAGAGACGATTCTTGGCAGGCCCCCATACTCCAGTCACTGTACAGACAGTCGACTTGAAATGTAGCCCCAGTCTTCCTGTGAAAAAAGCCTATCCAACTTCAGCCTCGAGCTTCAGCCCGAGGGACAGGATTCCAGTTTTCCATACATTTAGAGGCTATGGAAGGGGTCTAGGGGATGTCTTTATGTACTCCCTTGAACTCACTGCATCTCCCTGGTAACTCCCAGTTTAAGTGAAAGTTAGTCACACAGTTGTATCCGACTCTGCGATCCCATGGACTGTAGCCTTCCTGGCTCCTCTGTCTATGGAGTTCTCCAGGCGAGAGTACTGAAGTGGGCTGCCATTTCCTCCCCCAGAGGATCTTTCAGATCCAGGGATTACCAAATGAACCACTAGAGAAGCCCGGAAATGAGATCAAACACTCATCTGGAGCCCTGATTTTTGCAACTGTCACCAAGGAGACACGTATAGATCATCTGGTGTGAAGGCCAGCAAGGTTTACAATTGCAGTTCTGTATTACTGTATATAGTGGCATACCTTAAAAGGTGTGGCCTGCAGGTCCAGCTTCTAATCAGCCTGAAACTAAGGGCTAACTGAAATTCCACTCTCTGGAACACTCACAGGTCTTGGCACACCTTCAACAACTGGGAACTATGAAGAATAAGTCACAGAGCTAAGATAACCACAAACATTTAAGAGATAATCAAGAGCTAGGGCAAGGTTAAGCAATAAAATTGATCTCCTTCATAAGGCCAGTATTTCAAGACTGGCAGAGATAGCTGCTTCACCTAATATTTGACACAAACACAGACAGTCAAGCAAAATGAGGAGAGAAAGGAATATATTTCAAATAAAAGGAAAAGATATAACTACCAGTTAAAAAACCCATAATGAAAGTGAGATAAGTAGTTTAGCTGAAACAGAGTTCAAAATATTGGTCATAAAGATGCTCACTAAACTTGGGAGAAGAATGGATAAACAAAGACAGTACTTCACCAGAGATAGAAAATATAAGAAAGTATCAAATCAGTTCAGTTCGGTTGCTCAGTAATGCCTGACTCTTTGCGACCCCATGGACTGCAGCACACCAGGCTTCGCTGTCCATCACCAACTCGTGGACCTTGCACAAACTCATGTCCATTGAGTCGGTGATGCCATCCAACAATCTCATCCTCTATATCATCCCCTTCTCCAGCCTTCAATCTCTCCCAGCATCAGGGTCTTTTTCAATGAGTCAGTTCTTCACATCAGGTGGCCAAAGTATTTCAGTTTCAGCTTCAGCATCAGTCCTTCCAATGAATACTCAGAACTGATTTCCTTTAGGATTGACTGGCTGGTTCTCCTCCTGGAGACTGGCTGAGTCTCCTCCAAGGAACTTCCAAGAGTCTTCTCCAACACCACAGTTCAAAAGCATCAATTCTTCAGCGCTCTGCTTTCTTAATAGTCCAATTCTCACATCCATACACGACTACTGGAAAAACCAAAGCTTTGACTAGATGGACCTTTGTTGGCAAAGTAATGTCTCTGCTTTTTAATATGCTGTCTAGGTTGATCATAGCTTTTCTTCCATGGAGCAAGCGTCTTTTAATTTCATGGCTGCAGTCACCATCTGCAGTGATTCTAGAGCCCCCCAAAATAAAGTCTGTTACTGTTTCCACTGTTTCCCCATCTATTTGTCATGAAGTGACAGAACTGGATGCCATGATCTTAGTTTTCTGAATGTTGAGCTTTAAGCCAGCTTTTTGACTCTCCTCTTTCACTTTAATCAAGAGGATCTTTAGTTCTTTGATTTCTGCCATAAGGGTGGTGTCATCTGCATATCTGAGGTTATTGATATTTCTCCCAGGAATCTTGCTTCCAACTTGTGCTTCATCTAGCCTGGTATTTCTCATGATGTACTCTGCAAAGAAGTTAAATAAGCAGGATGACAATATACAGCCTTGACGTACTCCTTTCCCTATTTGGAACCAGTCAGTTGTTCCATGTCCAGTTCTAACTGTTGCTTCTTGACCTGCATACAGGTTTCTCAAGAGGCAGGTCAGGTGGTCCGGTACTCCCATCTCTTGAAGAATTTTCCAGTTTGTTGTGATCCACAGTCAAAGGCTTTGGTGTAGTCAATAAAGCAGAAGTAGATGTTTTTCTGGAATTCTCTTGGTTTTTCAATGATCCAACAGATGTGGGCAATTTGATCTCTGGTTCCTCTGCCTTTTCTAAATCCAGCTTGAATATCTGGAAGTTCCTGGTTCACGTACTATTGAAGCCTGGCTTGGAGAATTTTGAGCATTACTTTGCTAGTGTGTAAGATGAGTGCAATTGTGTGGTAGTTTGAGCATTCTTTGGCATTGCCTTTCTTTGGGATTGGTATGAAAACTAACCTTTTCCAGTTCTGTGGCCACTGCTGAGTTTTCCAAATTTGCTGGCATATTGAGTGCAGCACTTTCACAGCATCATCTTTTAGGATTTGAAATAGCTCAACTGGAATTCCATCACCTCCACTAGCTTTGTTTGTAGTGATGCTTCCTAAGGCATCAGGAAGCTTCCATAAGCCTCTTACCCTTCTCTATCAGAGGGCAGACAGAATGAAAACCACAATTACAGAAAACTAACCAATCTGATCACATGGACCACAGCCTTGTCTAACTCAATGAAACTATGAGCCATGATGTGTAAGGCCACTCAAGATGGACAGGTCATGGTGCAGAGTTCTGACAAAACGTGGTCCACTGGAGAAGGGAATGGCAAACCACTTCAGTATTCTTGCCATGAGAACCCCGTGAACAGTATGAAAAGGCTTCACTGGTGAATACTACCAAATGCCCAAAGGTTTAATACTTATATTTCTCAGACTCTCCCTAAAAATTGTGGAGGAGGGAACATTCCCAAACTCATTTTACAAGGTCAGCATTACCCTGATACCAAATCCAAATAAGGATCACACAAAAAAAGAAAATTATAGGCCAATATACCTGATTAACATACCTGCAAAAAATCTTCAACAAAGTATTAGCAAACTGAATTCAACAATATATTAAAAGGATCATGTACCCTGTTCAAGTGGGATTTATTCCAGGGCTGCAAGGATGATTCAACATCCACAAATCAATTAGCATGATATACCACATTAACAGAATGAAGGCTAAAAATCACCTGATCATCTCAATAGAGGCAGAAAAAGCTTTTGACAAAATTCAACATTTATTTATGATAAAAACTCTCAACAGAGTGAGTATAAAAGAAACATACTTCAACATAGTAAAAGGCCATATATGATGAACCACAACTACTATCATACTCAAGTGCAGAGCTGAAAGTTTTTCCTTTTAGATCAGGAACAAGACAAGAATGCCCATGCTTGCCACTTTTATTCAACACAGATTAAATCTTGAGGGTATTACTCCAAGTGAAATAAACCAGTCACAGAAAGGTAAATACTGAATGATTCCATGTATATGTGGTATTTAAAATAGTCAAATTCATAGAAGCAAGACTGGAATGCTGGTTTCCGGGGGCTAAGGGGATGAGGGCATGGGGAATTACTATCTAATGGGCATAAAGTTTCAGTCAAGCAGGATGAATAAGTTCTAGAGATCTGCAGTAGAGCGTTCTCTGTATAGCCAGCAATAATACGTATATTGTACACTTAAAAATTTAAGCAAGTAGATATCATGTTAAGTCTGCTTTCCACAATAACTTTTTAAATAAAATGCCTACATTGAAGGAAAAAGCTGCTGTTGGCCATCACATAAATTTGTGGGTTTTTTCCACTTTCCTTATTTAGATTCTCAAAGAAGAAATAGCATTAGCAACCTTGAAATAATTACCATTGTAATTCACCTTAAGCAGGGCGGCCGTGGTAATTTGATTTTCAGAATGAAATTACAGCGTATCCAAAGGAAACTATTCAGACTTCCTTTCACATTTCAAATTTGGCAAATTCAAATCTTTCTGCCAAAGAGGAAATTCCCAGTGCCCAGCAATCAACACAAAAACAAACTCACAAACATGCACATAAGCATAAGTCCAGTGGTCAGAACTTTTATATTTTATTGATGAAATTTTTTAAAATCCACCATTCTTACCTTTCCAAAACTGCCTTTACCAATGGCCCGCAGGATCTGAAAATGGTCAAAGTTGACTGTAAAAGAAAAAAAAGGAACAAGTTAGATTTGTCAATCCTTGTCTTGATTCTTAAAATGTCTTCACCTGAATATCTAACCGTTTCTTTCCAATGGCTTCTGGTTTTCTGCATCGTTTGCTATAACAGCACTCCACCACTGAACGGCTACTTTGCATATTCCACTCCCCAGCCCCCAACACATATACTTGGCAATTAACACTTCCCCAATGTATACAAAGGAGGAGAGACATCTTCTGGGCCAGAGGGAAGGGATAACAGAAAAACTTGGATACTTGGATTACCAGATTCTTGCACCCTGTATTCCCTTTACCAAGATGACTTTACTTCTAGTCTGTCTTGTCCACCAAGCATTATTACCTTACACATTCAGACATCAGCTCACCTGTCTCAGTGTCCAAGGAGCTGATCCTGCCTCCATTATGAAACCTCTGGAGCCCCAAGTGACACGACCACATCGTAGTCTTCTCCTGCTCGGGTGTCTCACCTCTGATATCATGAGCCAGAAGGAGGACAATGATTTCAAACCCTGTATTGTCTTGTCTCCAGCCCACTCCAGTATTCTCGCCTGGAGAATCCCATGGATAGAGGAGCCTGGCGAGCTCTATTCCACAGGGTCACAAAGAGTCAGACATGACTGAAGCGCCTTAGCAAGCAAGCGCTGCCCTGCCTCACGCCTCTCTTTCACCCTGTTTCTTCATGGGGCTCCCCTTTCTAGGTCTCTGTTGCCTTATTCCAGTATGGCTTACACCTCATCCCCACAGCACATCAGCAAAGTATGGCCACACCACTCGAGCCAATGGACAGTTTTCTGTCCCCCCTTTTACTTGGCCACTCTTTCCCTTTTGAGACATCTGCTTGTCTTCTATGGAAGTACGCCTTAATATTCCATTTCATGCATGAGTTCTTTTGTGCATTCATCCTTTACCTCCCATCCATTAAATACTGGATTCCATCAAACCTCCATCCTACAACCTTCCTCTCCTCACTGGCTCCAAGGGCCTTCATCATCACCTAACGGCCAGCAACTTTCCAGGCTGTGTGTACAGATTGATGCCAACCCCACAGTGACTCCTGGAGGCTTCGGAGTTACCCTGAACCATTTCAAAGTATCCAAAACAAAACCTAGGAGAGGGTGTGGAGAAAAGGGACTCTCCTACACTGTTGGTGGGAATGCAAATTGGTGCAGCCACTATGGAGGACAGTGTGGAGACTTCTCAAAAGACTAAAAATAGAGTTGCTGTATGATCCATCAACTCCACTCTTGGGCATATATCCAGAAAAACTATATTCGAAAAGATACATGTACCCTAGTGTCCACAGCAGAACTATTTACAATGCCCAAGACATGGAAGCAACCAAAATGTCCATCAACAAATGAATGGATAAAGAAGATATGGTACATATAACACAATGGAATATTTCTCATCCATTTCATTTTATTTTTTATTTTTTTTGTATTTTATTTTAATTATTTTATTTTTTTATTTTATTCTATTTTTCACTTATTATTTTTTTCATTTATTTTTATTAGTTGGAGGCTAATTACTTTACAATATTGTAGTGGTTTTTGGCATACATTGACATGAATCAGCCATGGATTTACATGTGTTCCCCATCCCAATCCCCGCTCCCACCTCCCTCCCCATCCCATCCCTCTGGGTCTTCCCAGTGCGCCAGCCCTGAGCACTTGTCTCATGCATCCATCCTGGGCTGGTGGTCTGTTTCACACTTGATAATATACATGTTTCGATGCTGTTCTCTCAGAACATCCCACCCTCGCCTTCTCCCACAGAGTCCAAAAGTCTGTTCTGTACATCTGCGTCTCTTTTTCTGTTCTGCATATTGGGTTATCGTTACCATCTTTTTAAATTCCATACATATGCGTTAGTATACTGTATTGGTCTTTATCTTTCTGGCTTACTTCACTCTGTATAATGGGCTCCAGTTTCATCCATCTCAATAGAACTGATTCAAATGAATTATTTTTAATGGCTGTTACTCAGCCATTTTAAAAGAGCAAAATAATTCCATTTGCAGCAACACGGATGGGCCTAGAGGTCATAATACTAAGGGAACTAAGTCAGACGAAGAAAGACAAATATCATACAATATCACGCGTGTGTATTCCCTTTGGGATTAACAGATACACACTACTATACATAAAATAGATAAACAATAAGGACCTACTGTATTACACAGGGAACTATATTCAGTATCTTATTCAGTTCAGTTCAGTTCAGTCACTCAGTCGTGTCCAACTCTTTGCAACCCCATGAAACACAGCACGCCAGGCCTCCCCATCCATCACCATCTCTCGGAGTTTACTCAAACTCATGCCCATAGAGTTGGTGATGCCATCCAGCCATCTCATCCTCTGTCGTCCCCTTCTCCTCCTGCCCCCAATCCCTCCTATAACCTCTAACAGAAAAGAATATATGTGTGTATATATATATATATATATATATATATATATATATATATATATATAGACTGGTGGTTGCCAAGGGGGAGGCAGGTGAGAGGGATGGATTTGGAGTTTGGGATTAGCAGATGCAAACTAGTATACAGAGGATGGACGAACAACAAGGTCCTACCGTAGAGCACAGGAACTATATTCAATATCCTGAGATCAACCACAGTGGAAAAGAATATGAAAAAGAATGTGTGTGCATATATATGGCTGAATATATACATACATATATGGCTGAATATATAACTGAATCACTTTGGTATACACCTGAAACTAACACAATATTGTAGCTCAACCATTTGTCATTGTTGTTCAGTCACTAAGTCATGTTCAACTTTTACAGTCCCTTGGACTGCAGCACACCAGGCTATCTGTCCTCCACTATCCCTCCACTGTCCTCCACTATCTCCTGGAGTTTGCTTAAATTCATGTCCATTCAGTTGGTGATGCTATCTAACCATTGCCATCCTCCAATAATCCTAAAGGAAATCAACCCTGAATATTCATTGGAAGGACTGATGCTGAAGCTGAAACTCCAAATCAACCATACATCAATTAAAAAAAGAAAGAAAGAAAGCAGACCTAGATTGAGTGGTTCAACATTCATTTGACTTCATAAGCTCAAAGCCCGGAACTCATCCCTGAATCCTCTCTTTCTCAACTCCACACCTAGTCCTTCACTAGGTGAGGTCCATTCCACCTCTTCACTGTCTCTCCCATCCATCTACCCTGTGGTCACCCTCTGGTCTAAACCATATCATTTCTCGCCTGGACAAACCACAGTGGTCTTCTAACATCCTCTCTCGGGAAGGGGGTCTTGCTCATCTTCTGCTTACACTCCTCCAAAGCCCCCCACCATTGCTTTCAGGGAAAGGGGAAAATTCCTCCCCGTGGCCACTAGGGTACCCACTGGGTCCTGCCACTTCTCCTGCTTCACCTCTCATCCCCATCCCCACACCCACTGAGCTCTAGACATGAGAGCTTTCTTTCTGTGCTGTGAGCAGCCATTCCCACTCCCTGTGCCTTTAATGCTCTTTTGTTAACTCTGCTTCCTCTTCATTCTTCCACATCCAGGGAAGGCTGCACTCACCCTCCAGCCTGAGTCTGCTCTCCTTATTATACAGTCTCACAGTATCCTGGGACTTTCCTCCAAAAGTCATCACTCTATATTATTTTATTTTTTAAATGTGTTTATTTGTTGGCTGTACCACACAGCTTGTGGGATCTTAGTTCCGGGACCAGGGATTGAACTGGGGCCACAGCAGTGAAATCCCTGAGAAAAGAAAAAGTAGAATAGGTAGACTGACTTTTTTTTTTTTTTTTTTTGGCCATGCTGCAGAGCATGGAAGATCTCAGTCTCAGACCAGGGATTGAACCCTCACCCCCTGCAGTGGGAGCTCAGAGTCTTTAACTACTAGACCACCAAGGAAGTCCCATGGTGTATTATTTTACATGCATCTGATTAAGATCATTGATCTAACATTAGACTCCAAGTTCCCTAAGGTCAAAGGCCATATTTGTTTTTCTACAGTGCGCCCACAGCTAGCAGGGCGTTGGAACACAGTCATATTTAACAAATATTCATCAATTAAAGGGATAATTGAAAGCAGACCTCCATATTCATGGAGCCAAATGCAATCCCTGGTACATAATGAGCGTTTGGTAAATATTTCTGAATTAGATTGAATTACGGCCAGTTTCCAATAACTAGGAAAGACATCCTATTTACAAAAGATGAAGTGAACTGATTAGTTCACTACATTATGGGGGCAAGGATGGGGGGAGGTGAACAAATACAATTAGCTCCCTATGTATTCAACTTAATGCCGTGGAGGATAATTATGTTGAATTGTGTCACTGCCAAACCTAAGTCAGAAGCCAGTGTGCCATCTAACACCTAACGTGCTTAGAATAGAGAGACAAGGTTAACGGTTAACTTAGCAAAACCTGGGTTCTTTGACTTAGATTGGCTTCCTTTGTAAATAACTTGCCAGGAAAAGAAATTCTCTTATTTTTTCCTCTTCCCCACTCACCAGAGCTCAAGGAGAGAGAAAAGTGAGGAGCTTGGTCTGCATTTGTGATGTGACCAGCAACGAGCTAGGAAATGTACATATATTATCAAGAGCTCCCAAGGTCCCAGGAGGCATTGGCCACATGCCCCTAGTTAGCAATAAACATCCCCACTTCTCTGAAGGCTCCACACTGCTTTGTGCTGCCATGTGTGTGCTGTTATTTCACCTGCTTGCAAAGCCATTCCTCCAACACTCTTCATTTCAAGGAACATTCCTACCTGGCCTTTGACACACGGTCACATGCTCATGAAGGAAAGAAAAGTGATTTGTTCTCCACTCCCAACAAATCACTTTCTTCTTAGTGCAATCTCAGAACCTTCTGCAGACATCTGTCCAGGGATCAGGAAACCCCAGCCTCGAGTCAGACTGCTTAGGTCCGTAACTCAACTCTGCCAAATGACCTTGGATGAGTCACTTGACCTCCATGTGTCTCACTTACCCCATCTGTACAATGG